GACACCATCCCTTGTTAAGATCACTCTCATCACCGAAAGCAAAGCAATACTTATCAAGAACTTTGTCCTTTTTAGCCAAAACAACTTACCATGCTCTAAGAAGAAGAAAGGGGTTCTTTTCCTTTTACATATAAGTAGATAACAAAGGTAACCCAATATTTTCATGTTCTAGAATTTTATATAAATAGAATCATAGAGTATTTACTCCTGATCTGGGTTTATTCACTCAGCATAAGTATTTGAAGTTTCACCCATGTTGCTACACATGTCTGTAGTCCATTCCTTTTTCTTTTTCTTGCAATATCTTTATTATACTATTCATACACTTTTCCTCCCACAGAATTTCATCATTTCAGGTTTACTGTTAAGTACTCTTTCCTTTTCCTGTGGAGGATGGTGTCTTTCTTTGTACCCCTGCCGTTTTATTAAGGTATAACTGACAAATTTAAATTGTACATATTTACAGTGTACATGTAATGTTTTAATATAAATATGCATTGTCAAATGATTAAATTAAGCTAATTAACATAGCCATCACCTCATATACTTTTTTTTAGTAAGGGCATTGTTAACATATCTAATATGTTAACAATTTTCAAGTATACAAAACATTTTTAACTATAGTCACCATCTGTACAGCAGATCTCTACCCTTTCACCAACATCTCCCCATTTGTTTTGCCACAAGTCCTTGGCAACCATCATTCTACCCTCTGCTTCTATGAGTTTGACTTTTTGGAATCCACATCTAAGTCCATTCCTTTTCATTGCTGAATAGTACTCCATTGTATAAATATACCACAATATATTTATCTAGTCACATGTGGAAGGACATTTTGATTGTTTCTAGTTTAGGGCTATTACATAAAGCTATGATAAACCCTTATGTGCAAGTCTTTGTCCTGGAAGTAGAATGATAGAGTCATATGGTAGATTTATGTCGAATAATATAATTTAATAGCTTTAGGGGGCTTCTTTTGGTTACAAGCAATTACCTCTTCCACAACCAGCTCCTTCTCCCCACAGAACTCCTTACTTCCATATACACACTATTGATACGGTTTAGTTTTGTGTCCCCACCCAAATCTCATCTCAAATTGTTATCCCTAGGTGTTGGGGGAGGAACCTGCTAGGAGGTGACTGGATCATGGGGCGGTTTCCTCCATGCTGTTCTCGTGATAGTGAGTTCTCAAGAGATCTGATGGTTTTATAAGAGGTTTTCCCCCTTTTACTTTCACTCTCTCTCCTGCTGCCTTGTGAAAAAGATGCTTGCTTCCCTTTTACCTTCCACCATGACTGTAAGTTTCCTGAGGGCTAACCCAGCCATGAGGAACTGTGAGTTAATTAAACCTCTTTTCTTTACAAATTACCCAGTCTCAGGTATTCTGTATAGCAATGTGAAAATTGACTAGTACAATTATCATGCTTTGCTTCAATTTCATAAGAGCCTTAACTTTATAACTGGAAAAAAGAGGATATATTTGTGGAGAGAGGAACAGAAGAGGAAAAAATGTTGCAATGGGTCTCCTGAAGAGTGAATTCAAGTGTACATGTTTACATGGAACTAATTTGTAGCATTATGGAGAGATATGTATACAACTTCAAGTCAGGTTTTGCTTAAATGTGTATATCGTTTTATCAATATTTTAAAAGCTATTACTATTGATGGTCCTCACTGCAACCTCTGCCTCCCAGGTTCAAGCGATTCTTCTGCCTCAGCCTCCTGAGTAGCTGGGATTACATGTATGCACCATCACACCCAGCTACTTTTTGTATTTTTAGCAGAGATGAGGTTTCACCATGTTGGTCAGGCTGGTCTCCAACTCTCGACCTCATGATCTGCCCACCTCAGGCTTGCAAAGTGCTGGGATTACAAGCAGGAACCACCGACCCCAGCCAAAGCTTTTTTTCTTTTTTTTTTTTAATGTCTATACTTGCTGCTCCTATTTTGCTCCTTCCATTCTCTTTTGAAATCATTTCAATCGGGCTTTTGTCCGCATCCCTCCACCAGAACTGCTCTAATCAAAGTCATCAATCACTGCTGAATGGTTAACTCCAGTGATAGCTGTAAGTCTTACTTGATATACTTGACAACAGCATTTAATTCAATTAATCAGGAAAGACTGACTTCTAAACACCACCCTCCCCTGGTTTCCTCCTACCTTATGGGCTGATCCTTTTCCATTTGCTTGCCAGTCACTACTCTCTCTGACATCTAAATGCCTGACATCTAAATGTCAGAGTGCCCTGGGGCTCAGTCTTTGGATCTCTTCTCTAACTACAATTACTCCCTTGTTGACCTCATCCATTCTCACTCATGATGTCAAATGCCATTCATATAAGGATGGCCCCCAGATATTTACCTCCAGGTCCGACCTTTCTCCTGAAATTCAAACTTGTATGTCCAACTACCTACTACATCTCTCCTTAGGGTGGCTACTAGACAACTGAAAATTAACTGTGTAAAAGCAAGTTCATATTCCTTCCCAGACCTCCTCATCTTCCTTTATTTTTCTCTACTTCATAAAGTACACTTTAATTTACTGGAAACCTTGACTATATCGTTAACTCTCTCTCTTTCTTACCCCTATCTTTCCTGCCCCTCCTTTCCACCCCAGCCTTCTCTTCCATCCCAACAGTTTCAAACACACACTTAAGTCATCAGCATATTTTGTCAGCCTCTGAGCTATTCCCATTTTAGAGGTAAAGAAACTGAGCCATGAAAAAGTTATTTACTCATCCAAGGTCACAGAATTAATTTGTAGCAGAACTGAAATTGAAAACCAGGTAGCCTTGCTTTAGAGTTTTTAAATGGCAATTTTGTCAATTCTAGTTTTCAAGGATTCCAAAAAATTGAGGTCTAATTTCAAGAATGCTTTTCATAAAGACAAAACTGAACAATTTCTAACAATTTCTTCCAATGAAACAATTCAATAAGTAAATGTATACCTAATACAAAACATAACTTTATAAACCAAATCATAGTCTGTAATGAAGTTTTTCATTCAGTTTTATAACCTCTGTGTTTGTATATATTATTCTTAAAAATTGAGATATTTTTCTGTTTCTTAATTTGTTTTTTTAAAAATTCACAGTGTATCACAATGTTTTATCCATTACAATGGAGTACCCTAGCTAAAAGTAAATTCCAAGTTTTTGGAAACCTTGAGGACTAGAAGTAAGGAAATCTGTTATTTTAAAACTATATGTAGTTTGTACTCTTCTCTAGAAATAGATGATTGAAATCACCTTAACACACTGATTGTTGTGGCAAAAATGCTCCTTGGTGGTGCAAAGATGAGGCAAAAAACTTATTCTGAAAAAGGAAATGTTGAGAAAATCAAAAGCAATTTTCTCAGCAAGGAGGCTAGAAAACTGGATATGCTTTATCTAATCTAATCTGATTTAGTCACTAATCCAAGACTGACTTGGGGAAAGTAGTATTTGGGGAGACTCTCAGAAAAATCCTGACAACCTTCTTCATCTAATATTTCTTTTCTCAGAGAAAGAGATGAAATTAGCAGATCATCATTGTTGCCTGTGATTCTTCAGTTATAGCAATGCCTATGTGCCTCTTTCCCAGATGTTCAACTCTGTAGGATGAAAAAATTGCACTTGAAAATCACTTGCTCAAAAACCCCTTTAAAGACTGTACTTGCATTTTTATTAGAAACATATATTTAAAACAAAACTCCTCCTTCATTTCCCAAACAAGGAAAGCCTGTTACGATAGGATGACATCATGAACCCATATATCTGCTTTGAGAAGACAAGAAAAGTCTTCACTTGCTTCATTTGAAACAGTTGCCTGCCTTTAGGTAGAACCTTCAAGATGGGGATGAGTGCTTTTATAAGAGACCACAGAGAGCTAGTTCTTCCTTCCACTATGTGAAGACACAGCAAGAAGTGGGCCTGCATCAGACACCAAATCTGACAGCACCTTGCTCTTGAACTTCCCAGCCTCTAGAACTACGAGAAATAAATTTTGTTGTTTATAAGCCACCCAGTCCATGATATTTTGTTATAACAGCCTGCAGAAGCTAAGACATACCTCCATCATTCTGTAGAACAAGCTTGTCCAATCCATGGCCCTGGGCCACATGTGACCCAAGATGCCTTTGAATGTGACCCAACACAAACTCGTAAACTTTCTTAAAACATTATAAGTTTTTTTTTTTTTAAGCTCATTTGCTATCATTAGTGTTAGTGTATTTTATATCTGGTCCAAGACAATTCTTCTTCTTTCAATGTGACCCAGGAAAGCCAAAAGATTAGACACCCCTGCTTTAGAAGGACAATTAAAACAGGGGAGTGTTTTTGCCACAACAATCAGTGTTTTAAGGTGATGTCAATCATCTATGTGAGAGCAAGTAGATGGTCCCTAGTACTGAGGCATACAGATAGCCCTCTTCCCTATTTCCAGGGCTCATTTAGGGTTGGTCCTATTTGGGGATCATCTTAAGTAGTTTGGGGAATGTGGGGAAGTCTGTGGAGGCTTATATTTCCTAGGCCTCTATTCTTGATATTTTTAGGACTAGATCTCCTTAAAAACTGACCTTTCTTCTCCAAAAGAAAAGATTTAGCTTTTCTCAGTCAAAAATGTGGTACAAACTGGATTTTACTAGAAAAACAATGTACTTAGAAACTTTTGATAGGAACTAAAACATGTTTTTAAAAATCCTGCAAATTTTTTTACCACCACAATATAAAAATACTAACAGCTTATAGATTTATTAACAAGTTAAATCTCTGAATCTCTGACCTTTGACAAACGTCAGTGTTAGGCTTTCACCATAGATAGATGTTTTCCTTTGGACGGCCTGATAAAGTACGCACAGTGTATTGAAGTCACTTGAGATAAAATTTTGCAAGGAGTCAGAAGGTTATAAATGCTTGACATACTTAAATTTAGGATCACTACTGTATCCTAAGGAAGATTATATTTCACAGCTATCTATTTTCTGGAAGCTGTCTAAATAGATACATTATTTGTTGACTTACAGAACTGGTAAGGATCAGAGCTCACATCTTCAGCCTCCAACTCAATTCTGCAATCGGGGCCACATCATCACAGCCAAAGGACCATCTTCCCCCTGCAATAAAAGAAGACTACACTGCTCTACATGAAATAAAAAGAAAAGGCGGGGAATATTTGCTCCTGAAGAAGAGGAAAAAAAGGCAATAGGTGAAAAAGAACAAGCTGAAATGTTAAAGCAAACTCCAAACTTGGGAGAAGAAAACTGCAATAAGGAATGACACCATCCTAAATATATAAACTGGTTTTACAAATTCATTTTTGAAAAAAACCCAAAAACACTACTCTTACAATAGATATACCTATGTAACAATTCTGCACGATCTGCACATGTACCCCAGAACTTAAAGTATAATTTAAAAAAAAAGAAGAAAAAAAAAAAGAATGGGTAAGCTTTAGAGAGGCATCACAAGTCCCTAATGTGGTAAGATGTGCTTAGCCAGCAAGGTGCTTAAATAAAGAGATACTCCACGCAGTATCATTCTGGAGACAGAAGACGCCTCTGAATTTGAATGGTCCAAGAGTATGGAAAGAGTAAAGTTGTCCCAGTCAAATGAGGTAGAGCATGCACATAAAAATTTACTTTTTTTTTTTTTTTGTAAGTATTGTGATTTTTTTTCATACTCTGGTCAGGTTGGAGGGAATAAATTAAAAACAACAGGCCAGAGAGTGACCAGACAAATTCATCTCTTGAAGTTTCAAGGATTTATATATACTTTCGGATTGTTGTAATTAGGCTTACATTTATAATTATTTGTTTTAATTGCAATTAAATAATGTAGACCAAAAAAGAAAAAATAATGTAAACCAAGTGCTGTCTCGTCAAAATGAGATTTGCCTTGTAGGGACTTTCAAAACTGTAAAATATTACTGAGAGACATTTAAAAGTCATTTGTAAAATATGCTTTTATTTTATTTACAAGTCATTTGTAAAATATGCTTTTATTTTAAACTCTAATTTAAAGTCATTGCATGGACCTAAAAACATATTTTTAAGTCCATGCAATGGCTTTAAATTAGACTTAATAAAAAGAAATAACAGCATTAAAAAGAAGAAAATTGGTAAAGGACATAAATAATTCACATTGAATGAAAATTGGACTATAAATATATGTATATATGAAGTTAAAGTTTACTAACAAGTAAAGGAATAAATACAACAGAAAAAAACAAATATATCAAATGCAAAAAATTATTATTATTATTATTATTTTTTTTTTTTTTTGAGATGGAGTTTCGCTCTTGTTACCCAGGCTGGAGTGCAATGGCGCGATCTCGGCTCACCGCAACCTCCGCCTCCTGGGTTCAGGCAATTCTCCTGCCTCAGCCTCCTGAGTAGCTGGGATTACAGGCACGCACCACCATGCCCAGCTAAATTTTGTATTTTTAGTAGAGACGGGGTTTCACCATGTTGACCAGGATGGTCTCGATCTGTTGACCTTGTGATCCACCCGCCTCGGCCTCCCAAAGTGCTGGGATTACAGGCTTGAGCCACTGCACCCGGCAAAAAATTATTTTTAAATATCATCCAATGTTGCTCACCAGGCGACAAGGAAATGGGCACTCTCTTACACTGCTGGTGATGGTATAAATTAATACTAAACAAACCATATAAACACAAAATCATAGTCTATTCTGTAATACCATTATGGTTACAGTACTAAGAAGGCTTGGGTTATCAAAAATAGATATATTAAAATCAAGGCTGTAATAGAGAAAGAAAGAGTAGAAAGTTACCAAATTGCAATACCAAAATTATATTCACTGCAGGAATTTCAACAAAGGTATTTTTTATTCATCTAAGTACATTTTCTTTTTTCAAGCTACAAATAAATTTATTCAATAACTGTCAGAAAAATTACCTTCATACAGACTTCTGAATCTAATGCAGCACTATTATAAAACAAAGAGAGAGATTGATTGAACAATCCTATATGCCTGAAACTAAAATAGTCTACTAAATAATACTTGTTTTAAAGCATGAGGGAAATTTGTTAAAGACTTCAAGCTAAATAAAAGCAGTACCTGAAAAATTTATGGACTGCAGCTGTAACTAGATATACAGGGAAACATTTTGACATTCATAATAACAATGAATAATAAACATTTATTGAGTATTTTCTGTGTGCCATGCAGTTGTTAAGTTCTTTATACATCATCACAATGAAACTTTTAAATTTATTATTTGTTTATTTATTTTTTAGAGACAGGGTCTTGCTATATTGCCCAGGCTGGTCTTGAATTCCAGCATTCAAATGATCCTCCTGCCTCAGCTTCCCAAGTAGCTGGGACTACATAACTGTATTTTTATTGTAAAATAAATACCTACGGAAATAAAACGTATACATATTTTAAAGAATAAAGATAAAACTGACAGAAGAACAGAAAATCAAACACCGCATGTTCTCACTCATAGGTGGGTGTTGAACAATGAGAACACATAGACATAGGGAAGGGAGCATCACACAGTGAGGTCAGTTGTCAGGGAGCTAGGGGAGGGACAGCAGGGGGTGGAGAGGGTAGGGAGGGATAACGAGGAGAGAAATGCCAGATATAGATGATGGGGGGATGAAGGCAACAAACCACCTTGCCATGTATGTACCTATGCAACAATCCTGCATGATCTGCACATGTACCCCAGGACCTAAACTACAATAAAAGAAATAAAATTAAATAAATTTTTTAAAAAGAATAAAGATAATAAAGCAAACACATGGGTAAACACATTTTTAGTGTGAAGAAGATATTGCCAAAACTTAGAAACTTCTTGTGTAGCCCTCTTCCAATCACATACCCTTCCTCCCTCACCAAGGTAAGCCACTATCCTGACTGTGATACCCTTACTTCATAATCATTCCATTTAGGTCTACTCTAAAAATACATTGCTTACCTTTGTCTAGTCTTTTAATTTTATCTAAATGAAATCATAGAGTATGTATTCTTCTGTGGCCTGCTTATTTGCTCAATTGTGAAATTCATCCATGTTGCTGCATGTAGCTATAGATCTTTTTATTGCAATATTATATAAACACAACTAATTATGAATTCCACTGATGATAAATTCTGGGGTAATTTTTATTTTAGGGTTGTTATGAATATATTCATACTTGTCTTCTTGTGTATATGTGTAAGACCTTCTCTACTTTAAATATCTAGAAGTAGAACCACTGGATCTTAGGATGATCACACATTTAAAGTTACTTAAGTAATGTCACAAGAGTCTCAAAAGCAGTTGAACCAATTTACATTTTCACCAGTAAGTGCTTAAGACTTACATTCTTAACCCCTGGTATGATCACACTTTATAATTGCCAATCTGGTGGGAATACAACAGTTTCTTGTTGTAGTTTAATATGAATTTCTGGATTAATAATGAAGTGAACTTTTTTCCTGTTTATTGGACATTCAAGTTTCTCTTTTATGAAGTACATGTTCTCATTCCTTCTTCGTTTGTCTATTAGAGTCTTTTTTTTGTAGAAATTTTTTATATATTAGGTATGAGTTTCTGTCAATTACATGATTTGCAATTATCTTCACCTAGTTTGTGATTTGTTTTTATGGTAGATTTGGAGAAAAGAAATTCTTCATTTTAATGCAATTGAATATATTAGTCATTTCCATTATGCTATGTGCACATATGTGTATAGCTTTTTTAATTTATTCCTATGTATGTCATATTTTTGTATGCTATTGTAAATGGTATATTTTAAATTTTTCATTTTTAACTGATATTTGCTGGTATATTAAAATGCAACTGATTTTTGTATGCGGATTACATACAATTGAATTACAGTGGGGTTGTCCTGATAAACTTAAAGTAATGTGAAAATACCATGAGTCAAAAATGCATTTAATACCACAATAAACCCATTGTAATGTAAAAAAAACTAAGTCAAATCATTTTAGATTGAGGATGGTCAGTTGTGGTTTTCATATGCTACTAACTTGCCAAATTCTTATTTCTAAAAACTATTTTCAGTCTGAGAAACACAGCGATACCCCATCTCTACAAAAAATTTAACAATTTGTCAAGCATGGTATGTACCTGTGATCCCAGGCACTCTGAGGCTGAGGCAGAAGAATCGCTTGAGCCCAAGAGATCAAGACTGCAGTGAGGCCATGTTTGTACCACTGTCAGCAACATCTTGTACCTCTGTTGCAGCCTGGGCAACAGAGCGAGAACCTGTCTAAAACAAACAAACAAACAAACATGAATATGTATGCGGTTCTTTTGGATGTTCCATGTAGATAATCAATCATCTATGGATGAGTTTTATCACTTAAATCCTAACATCTTTAATTTCTTTATTAACTATGTGGGCTAGCTCCAGTATGATGACCAATAAACTGGTAGCAGGCAAGCAGGCATCCTTGACAAGTTCCCAGTCTTGGGAATGCTATAAAATTGCACCATTAAGAATGATGATTGATCCTTGTATTCCTAATTTGTTTGCTTTTTATTTTTTTAGTCACGAATGGATGGTGACATTTAACAAATGATTTCCTGCATCTATTAAGATCATCATATGATTTTTCTCCCTTAGAACATTAATATGTTAATTTGATGTTTTAATATTTATTGAGTTCAAAATCCTTGGTTTTGTTTGTTTGTCTGTTTGTTTGTTTGAGACGGAGTCTCACTCTGTCTTCCAGGCTGAAATTCAGTGACTCGATCACAGCTCACTGCAACCTCAGCCTCCCAGGTCCAAGGGATTCTCCTACCTCAGCCTCCAGAGTAGCTGGGATTACAGGTGCACACCGCCACACCCAGTTAATTTTTGTATTTTTAGTAGAGGCGGGGTTTTGCCATATTGGCCAGACTGTTCTCCAACTCCTGACCTCAGATGATCTGCCTGCCTTGGCCTCCCAAAGTGCTGGGTTACAGGCATGAGCCACCACACCAGGCCTCAAAATCCTTGCTTTGTAACACTCCAATCACTGATCACTGGTTCATACAAGTCATCTTTTTTTTTTTTTTTTTTTTTTTTTAAATAATAAACACTGTGTGATGTGGTGCTGAGAAGAATGTATATTCTGTGGATTTGGGGTGGAGAGTTCTGTAAATGTGTATTAGGTTTGCTTGGTCCAGGTCTGAGTTCAAGTCCTGGATATCCTTGTTAATTTTCTCTCTTGTTGATCTGTCTAATATTTACAGTGGAGTGTTAAAGTCTCCCACTATTATTGTGTGGGAGTCTAAGTCTCTTTGTAGGTCATTAAGAACTTGCTCTATCTGGGTGCTCCTGTATTGGGTGCATACATATTTAGGATCGTTAGCTCTTCTTGTTGCATTGATCCTTTTACCATTATGTAATGTCCTTCTTTGTCCCTTTTGATCTTTGTTGGTTTAAAGTCTATTTTATCAGAGACTATGATTGCGACTCCTGCTTGTTTTTGCTCTCCATTTTCTTGGTAAATCTTCCTTCATCCCTTTATTTTGAGCCTCTGTGTATCCTTGCATGTGAAATGGGTTTCCTGGATACAGCACACCGATGGGTTTTGGCTTTTTATCCAATTTGCCAGTCTATGTCTTTTGATTGGGACAGTTAGCCCATTTACATTTAGGGTTAATATTGTTAAGTGTGAATTTGACCCTGCCATTTTGATGCTGATAGGCTGTTTTGCCTGTTAGTTAATGCAGTTTCTTCATTGTATTGATGGTCTTTACCATTTGGTAGGTTTTTGGAGTGGTTGGTACTGGTTGTTCCTTTCTATGTTTAGTGCTTCTTTCAGGAGCTCTTGTAAAACAGGCCTGGTGGTGATTAAATCTCTGAGTACTTGCTTGTTGACAAAGGATTTTATTTTTCCTTCATTTATGAAGCTTAGTTTGGCTGGATATGAAATTCTGGGTTGAAAATTCTTTTCTTTAAGGATGTTGAATATTGGCCCCCACTATCTTCCGGCTTGTAGGGTTTCAGCCGAGAGATCCACTGTGAGTCTGATGGACTTCCCTTTGCGGATAACCCGACCTTTATCTCTGGCTGCCCTTAGCATTTTCTCCTTCATTTCAACCCTGGTGAATCTGACGATTATGTGCCTTGGGGTTACTCTTCTTGAGGAATATCTTTGTGGTGGTCTCTGTCTTTCCCTGACTTGAATGTTTGCCTGCCTTGCTAGGTTGGGGAAGTTTTCCTGGATAATATCCTGAAAAGTATTTTCCAGCTTGGATTCATTCTCTCTGTCACATTCAGGTATACCTATCAAATGTAGAGTAGGTCTCTTCACATAGTCACATATTTCTTGGAGACTGTTCATTTCTTTTTACCCCCTTTTCCCTAATCTTGCCTTCTCATTTTATTTCATTGAGTTGATCTTCGACCTGATATCTTTTCTTCTGCTTGGTCAATTTGGCTATTGAAACTTGTGTATGCTTCATGAGGTTGCCATGTTGTGTTTTTCAGCTCCATCAATTCATTTATATTCCTCTCTAAGCTGTTTATTCTTGTTAGCATCTCATCAAACCTTTTTTCAAGGTTCTTAGTTTCTTTGCATTGGGTTAGAACACGTTCTTTTAGCTCAGAGAAGTTTCTTATTAGCCACCTTCTGATGCCTGTTTCTGTCAATTCATCAGACTCATTCTCCATCCAGCCTTATTCCCTCACTGGTAAAGAGTTGTGATCCCTTGGAGGAGGAGAGGTGTTCTGGTTTCAGGCATTTTCATCCTTTTTGCACTGGTTTCTTCCCATCTTTGTGGATTTATTTACCTGTGGTCTTTGTAGTTGTTGACTTTCAGATGGGGTCTCTGAGTGGCCGTCCTTTTTGTTGATGATGGTTGTCATACTGTAGCCTGATGTTATGTGTTCTTCACATTATTTTCTTATCTTTTCCCTGTTTGCAGCACTTGAGTCTTTTTTATTCCTGATATTAGTTATATGTCTTGTTTTTCCTTGAGCCATCTTGCCAAAAGTTTCAGTTTTATTATTTCTTTTAGCTTATTTGCTATTCTCTACTGAATATTCTCTACTGAATATTCATTTTCTATTTCATTAATTTTTGCTCATGACTTTGACATTCTTTTCACTTTTATTCCTTCCTAATATAGAATTTATAGTTATAATTTTCCCTCAAAGTACTGTTTAGCTGCATCCTAAAAGCTTTATCTGTTGTGTTTCCACAAGCCTTCAGTTTTAAATATTTTCTAATTTCTATTTAAATTGTTTTGTGACCTGAATTATTTGAAACCATAAAAAATTTTTCAAGTTACTCTTTAATTACCGAGCCATAGCTTAACTGCATTGTTCTCATAACATTCTCTGAATGATTCCAATTTTCTAATATTTGTTGTAATTCTTTATCATGTGCCTGAAAAGAAGGTTGATCCTGAACTTGGTGGAGACAGTGCTCCCTGTGTGAGCTCATTAGGACAAGTTTGTTGGAGGGAAATTAATGGTTCTCAATACATGTATCAGAAAATAGGAAAAGCTGAAAAATAAGTAAGCACAACTGAAAACATAAGCAAGAGACTGACAGAGTATACCCAAAGAAATAAAAATTAAGAAAATAATAAAAGGTAGAACCCAACAAAAAATAATAGAATGGTATAGAAAAAAAAAAAGGTTAATATTATCAGAATCTTCGTCTTTAAAAAGACTACTGCTGATAACTTCAGGAAATAACAGTTCAACAAAATAATAAAATGCAAATAAAAAAAATATACTTAACTAAGGGAACAAATTATAGCTATAATAAAGACTTTTGAAGTAATTTTATTATAAAACACCTATAGCCAAATATTTTCGAAAACGTATAATAAATAGAACGGGAAATTATATTACCAATAAAATTAACATAACATGAAATAGGAAACTTGAATCAATAACCAGGAAAAATTTAAATAATGTTGCCCAATAATCTTACAGGGTGTCCCGCTGAACTGAAACAGAACATCTCTATGTTATATAAATACAGCCAAACTTAGAAAAATTGTGAAAACTGCCCAATTCATTTTTCAGTTTGGTACAGTCTTTAAAACTATCAGATGAGGACAGCAAAGAAAATTATAGGCCAATTTCACTAACAAACATAGAAGGAAATCCACGCCATAAAATATCAGCTAACAGAATCCAATCAGGTGTTTGAAAAAAATAATAACCCTAATAATACTTATTAGAGTTTATTCTAGAAATGCAAAGATAACTTTATAGCAGAAAGCCTATTAACATATTTCACCACAGGAATGTATTAAAGAATAAAATACATGATTATCTCAATAGACACAAGAAAGGCATTTGATAAGGTTCACATTCAATTAAGATTTTAAAAAACTTTTTAAATTCTTGAAGGCTAGAAAGAAAATAACTTTCTTAACTTTTTGAAGGCTATCTACAAATGCCCTATAGCAAACATCATAATTAATGGAGAAACTTTTGATGTATTTCTTTTTAAGGCCAATAAGATAAAAATTCTACCACCATAGCTACTGTTCAATATACTATGTGACATGCTGGCTAATACAAGACAAGAATAGGTTAAAAGAATTGAAAGAGAAGAGAGAGTGTTCATCATTTGAAGGTGACCTGATAATCCACATAGAAAACCCAGGAAAATGACCATCCAACTAAAAGGCATTATAAAAAAATTAAGGCATAGTAGAAAATCACAATAAGAAAAACAGCTGCATACAATCAAAAGACTAATGGAATAGAGTTTAAAAGCTCAGAAAGAGACCCATGTGAAAACCTGGTGTATGACAGAGGTCATAACACAAGCCAATAGAAAAATGATTAATATTTTGGAAACGGTAATAGGAACATTGGTACGCTCCCTGGAAAAAAATTAAGTTGAATCCTTACCTCAAATAATCTCCAAATATGGACTTCATATGTATTAAAACAAAAACATGAAAAGCAAAAGTAAATTAAAAAGCAAGTAAAAATTTATATAGATTATCTTCATGATCTTGATGTAGAGAACTACTTCTTATAGAAGATTCTAAAAGAACAAGCCTTAAGGAGGAAAAGTAACAAACTATAAGGGCAAAATTAAAGATTCATGTACAAAGAAAGTCACCACACACAAGGTCAACAGATGGACAGCAAATTGGGAGTAGATACCTGAATTGAATATCATTCAGAAAAAGCCAGGTTTGCAAAAAGAAATGGACAAAGGACATGAACGATTTACAAAAGAAAAAATCCAGATTGCAATATTCAATGAAAATAAGCTCAAACCTCATGGGTATTCAGAGAAATGCAAATTAAACGAAGAAATGCTATTTCATATGTGTAAAACGGCAAATATTATAAACTCATATAATTCCAAATACTGATAAAGATCTAGGGAAATTGCAATGTTGTATTTCTTGTCACAAACCGTTACAGCCATTATGAAGAAAATATTATTAGTATTTAGAGAAATTAGTGTAGGAATGGTCAGTGACCTGGAAATCCTACTCTTAACTTATATTGCAGAGAAACTCCTGTGCAGGTCCAAAAAGACACATGTAAATAATATTCATGGCAGGATTGGTTGTGGTGCAAA